GCTTGTGGTCCAGCTGGAGGCGGGGCTCAGCCTGCGACTTCTCCACCGGGGACCCCGCGATAGATCACATGCGGGTGACCCGGGAGCCGGGGCGCAGCTGTCCAAGGCCGGCCGGGACAGTAGACCCCGAGTTAGGCCGGGGCCACGGCCCGGTGCCCAGGAGTCGCCTCTGGCCCGATCCACTCGGAACCCTTCCGGGCTGGAACTTTGCGGACCCAAATAGGTCCCCATCATTGCACGCGTGTTAGTTCAAGTGTGCAGTACCTAGGCTGCTTTGGGGCATTACAATAGTGGATTCTGCTACTCAGAGGAAAGAGGAAAGAGTGTATACAATATATATTATATAATTCCAGGTCTCTCCGAATTACTCTGTGAGGCTGGCAGGGTCATTGGATTTGGAGAAATTCCAGAGATGGAGAAAGGAACCTGACTCAAGGCGCAGGAATGGGGTCTCAGTGGCAGGGAGAGTGACGCTTGTAGGGCTGGGGCACTCTTGGGGGTCCCCAGACACCCGGAGGCCGAGGACTGGGGTGTCCGGAGCTTGCGCTTTCTGATGCCCAGAAACCCAACACGATAGCCCCTCGATCTGGAAACTTGTAGGAGTGAACGTCTGTAGAGTAAACAGGGAATTCCCCTCACAGTCAGACTCAAGAGCTTCAAAACATTTTATTTGCTTTACAGCTACGGTGCCCAGTTTTAGGTGTGGCCCCTGACTTTAGGGCAGAGGGCGCCGCAGGCCTGAGAGCAGAGGAATTTGGAGAGCAGTGTTTCTTCCCCGGTATTCCTGTTGGAGAACTAAGCAAGCAGCTCCGGAGGGTGCTTGTGGGGTCACAGCCCGGCCCTCCCTAATAACATTTCCCAAAGCTCTCTTCTGTGAAGGCAGTGGTTAAAGAGTAACTGACTTCCGCGCCTGGGCCAGTGCTTCTCGGAAATCACTTTCCCCTGCCCTCTCGGGAAGTGGGCTGAGGGTTTGCTGAGGTCCTGTAGTGAGGGCGGCCGGATCTGCGCCTCAGCGGCCTAGTGACTGAGGTGTGGGAGTTGCCTTCCTGTCCTGTGTGCACAGACTTCGGCTTCAGCATGAGCCCAGAGCCAGTGACAGGCAGACTGGCATAACTGCCCAAGGGACTTCGGACAAAAAGCTGTGGCATTCGTCCCTGGTGAGAAACCTCTCTCATCCCTTGGTGCTGTTGGGGTGATGCTGGGGTCCTGGTCGGGGTGCCCAGTGCTTTGCTCATGGTGAGACACTTCCCAGTTCAGTGCACTTCTTACAGATGAAAAACAGATATAGTGCAGAAACCAAGATAAGAAATATAATGTGAACTATATGTGAGACTTAGAATTTTTTAGTAGCCTTGGTAAAACACAAATGGCTGAAATTAATTATAACTTTATGAAACTCCATGTATTTATCATATCAGTATAACATTGAGAGGTTTTTACTTTTTTGGTGCTAAGCCTTTGAAATCTAGCATGGTGTATGTTGCACTGTAGTTCGGATGGGCCGCACGTGGGGTCTCTGTGGCCTGGGGCTGGTACTGAGTGCCCACGGTGCCCTTGTGCAGTGGGTTCCTGTTGGGATGTGAGAGGCGCAGAGAGGCTTTGCTGTGCTGTGGGATTTCTCCAGGCCTGACATCTGCCCTTTTCCCTTTCACTGTGACTGCCTTGGTGAGGTTGTAAGAGTGCTTCTTCCCTCTTGCTGCTGTGGACTTCTCCTCCCTCGCATAGCGCCATACCTGCCACTCCCCACCCCAGGCGCATGGGTAGGACTGATTCTCCAGAAGCTTTGGGGGAAATATGCTTTAGGCCAGTCCCGGCTGCTCCTGCACCTTTTGCAGTGGAGCTCACGCCTGGACGTGTCTCCCGCCTTGTCCCTGTAGCTTCCCCTTGGGGGTCTCCCATACCTGTGTGAGAAGGGCATTGAGTTCTCGGAGCTTCGAGAAGGCCTTGCTGTGTTGATCATGTGAATCAGTTTCCGCAGTCCAGTGCTGACAGGAAGGGGATGCATGTGCCATGAGGTGCGACCAAGCAGAAGCCAGTTTCTAGGCCTTCTGCTCTGTTCATGTTCATAGACCACAGAGGAAGCAGCCATGCACCCGAGCCATTGTGACGGCTCCTGTCCCGAGGTGACATGTGAGGGGTGACTGTGAGGCTGCATGTCGCTGGAGTTCTACAGCAGACGGCGTGAAGGCAGGAGCGCGGATGGGGCCAGCTAGGGGGCCTTGGAGCCCGGAGCTGCCTCGCACCCTGCCCAGTGATACGCAGGCGAACAGCAGAGGTCAGAAGCGGGGCCTCTTCGCGACCACGGCCCCAGTCAGTGAAAACGTGCTTTGGTGCTACTCCGCTGAGAAGCAGCTGTGGTGAGGTCTCTGCATCTGTGTGTGCCCCTGTCCCTGCCCCTGCCCACACCCTGGAGCAGGCGTCGAAAGTGACTCTGAGTGCAGTTCTTGTCTCCTGGAGGACAGAGTGGGCCTGGGCTAGGGAGGGCGGTCTGTCCTCCATCACAGCCCACCAGCCAGAGAAGTGGGTCAGGCAGGTTCCAGGGCTTTTTCTCCTCCAGCCTCTGCGCAAGGCTGGATCTGGGTTTCCATGTGGACGGCTCCTCCGTGTGCCTGTGGCAGCGTAGGGTGCTGGCTCCACCTGCTCTGTGCAAGCTTCACCTGTTTCCTACGCAGCGCTCTTCTCCAAACCCGGAGCCCCCCAGGCGGTTCCCCTACTTCAGAGCCTCCCATACCCGCCATGCCAGCCTCTGTCCATGTTCCCCACTGCAGGTCCAGGTCCAGGTCATTCTGTGGCCTCCACTGGTTTGTGATTTTTGTGCAAGGATTTAGCATCCCCAAAGTTGGCCTCCATTTTTGGGACCTTCTTAAGCAACAAGAGCTCAGCTAGGGTTCAGAAAGCTGGTGCCGTGGCTGTCAAAACAGGAAGCAGTGTCTGAAGTGAATGCTCATGCAGTTAAAGCAGTTTTCGCCTCTCCTTCCTGTGAGCTGTGTATAGCAGAGAGGGCAGCGCCAAGTGCATGGGTGAAACTGTGGTATGAAGACCCACAGGAGGCCTGGCCCTCAGAAGCAGATGCTCTAAGAGATTTGATGTTTGCCAGTCTGTGGGCCTTGGCTGGTGTACTGGCTTGAGTCTCTTCTTACGGTCAGTCTGCAGGCTGTGTCTAGATACCGTGAGCACTGGGTGAAGGACTGACATACAGATTGTAGAAGAGAAAAGGGTTATTTTGACTCTTGGTGTCAGGCGCCCAGGGTGTGGTTGGCTGGTCAGAGGTAGGAACATCATGGCAGAGGGAAATGCTCACCTGAGGGTGGCTGAGGCTCAGGCAGATGGCGGCCAGAGAAACACACCCTGCAGGGCTCTCTGCCAGTGGCTGCCTCCTTGTCCTAGATCCTGGCCAGTCTCATAGTGTGCTGTGCACTCACTGTGGGTGAATCCACTGGCACATGACCCGGTACCTTCCCAAGGCCTTGCCTTGGGCTGGGAACACAGCTCAGTGGTAGCTTCCTTGCCTGTCACACGCGAGGCTCTGGGGTCAACCCCCAGTACCACCCCTCCCAAAAAAGACCCCCGCTGGAACCTCTGAATGGAGCCTTCACCTCTGAACACATATGTTTGGGGGACCATAACTGTGACCATGTTTTGTGAGCTGCCACAGGGAGATGTGGGTTGACAAACTCCCTGTGGGAGTGGTGAGATGTCTTTTAAATTTGGGGCTGTTGTAGGTTTGGGACCGGGACAAGGGGTCTGCGCCCTGCCCTTTCAGCTCTGTGGAGCTTAGTCACTGGTAGGAGTTCCCATCCATGTCAGAGAAGCAGTACTAACTCCTGATACAGAGTTAGTAGCTAATACGCTACCGTTTACAGTCCGTAAAAGCTCTACACTGTTATGTTTTATCTCCTACCCTGACCCTAACCTGCATGTCAGATCATGGCACATGGAAACCAGGCTTAAAAGTGAAGTGAAGCCAGGCATGGTGGTGCACACCTGTAGAGGCTGAGTTCTACCTGGGCAACTTGGCAAAACCCTGTCTAGAGATAGAAAATGTAGGGGCTGGGTGTGTAGCTCAGTGGTGCGGTACCTGCCTGGCCAGAGCAAGGTCCTGAGTTTGATCCCTGGTACCAAAGAAGAAATAAAAAATTTAAAGGGAGGATAATTTAGCTCAGTGTGAAGCCTCTGGGTTCAGTCCCCAGTAACACACACACACCCGCACACATCCCCGCACACATGCACAGCAGAAAGAAAAAACTTACCCAAGACCACTGGCAGGTGAAAGAGGCGAGTAAGCCAAGCCACCAGGGCATGCGCGTGGTCTTTGTGCTTTGTGCCTCCAACTGCTTCCTCAGGAAGGGACGCGGCTGTCTCCCGCTTCATTAATGTGCTCCAGGTCCTACACATAAGGCATTTCAGGTTTGTGTGTCCTTCAGGAGAGTCTGGGGGAAGGATGTGCACAGTCCCACCCCAAAGAGAGATGCTTCAGAAAGGGAGCCTGTTTGTGAGGCTCGCTGGCAAAGACAAGGGGTGCTTACAGTGGAGGGGTTGCAGAGTGGGCTGTGTCCTGGAGCCCTGGACAGGTGTCCTGCTCCCGCACCATCCCCAGTACACTGTCTCTTGGGAGCCTCAAACTGTCGTTCCCATGGCAGAGTTCACTGTGCCCTGTGCCAGCCAGCGAGGTGAGGGACCTCACTTTCCACACAGTGGCTGTTGTCCCTCGTAGCCTCGGGACAGCACGAGGGAACGAACCAAGTTAACCCCGTGGCAGGGCCTGGGTTCCTCGCAGGGTTCGAGTCCCCTTGGTGTAGGTATCTGTGGAGGACTTGTCTTTGGCTCCTCACCTGGAGCTTTACGACGTGGAAGGCTCCTTGGAGACATGTAGGAACAAAAGCAGTCACGTCTAAGAATCAGCCTTTAGCTTACGGTATCAGAAACCTTAAGTTTGAGAAATGCAGAACTTTGGAGGCAAAACTGTAGGATGTGCCGAAGGGTCTCAGCCAGGTGCCCTTTGGGCTTTCAATTTCCTGTTTCTGTCTCCTTCGGGAGGCTCAGGAGATGGAGGTGAAGTACCGAATATGCAAGCCTGTATGGGAAGTGTGCAGTGTGGAGTGGGCTGGTTCTGCTTGGGCAGCTGTCAGCGGCTCTCTGCTGAGCTCTGGTTTCCAGCCTGTCCCCGTTTGATCTCACCCGTGGCTAGCGGGAGTGAACGAGAGCAGAGCCGTGTCAGTGATGGCATTGCTTCTCCACTGCCTACAGAGGAGAGGCCCAGCCCCTCTGCACATGTCCAGGACACTGTGAGCCTGTGGTCTCAGAGCCAGACTGCTGCTGGTGGCTTCAAGTCAAAGCTTTAGTGTCCAGAGGAATGGGTGTGGTACAGGCCAGGCTAGGAGCAGAGAGGAGGAAAGGTAGAAGGTGGAGGAAGAGGCCTTGCGTTCAGGTGCTAAGCAATTGAGGTGACTGGGAAGGGAGAGGAGTTGGCACGAGACTGCCAGGGCACACACACCCACCTAACATAGAGCCCATGATGGAACTGGCTCTCAGGCTGCCTGCGCAGGGAAGGCCCTGCTCACCCAGTCCTCCAGGCCCAGTGCAGCTGGGATCCTACAGTTTTGCCTCCAAAGTTCTGCATCTCTCAAACTTAAGTCTGGAGGTGGCCTGCAGCAAGAGCCCAGGCACAGGGGGCACTGAACAGTCAGTGATAACTTGTACCCTCGGCATGGGCTGCAGGGTGGTGGGCAGAGGGCATCTTGACCTGCGCGGGACTGAGCTCCCCTGGGGAGCCACCTTGACAGCTGCCTGATGAAGACTTGAGCTAGGGAAGCTCTCAATCTCCCGAGGTGTGGAAGGGGCCATGCTCATGGATTGTCTGGCCAGGGCTTTGCTATTCTGCAGGAGCACTGTTTTGCTTTTCTCCTCCTGGGAGTCCTGAGGGGCCCTGCTGAGGGACAAATCCCTCTGCTGGGACCTCCCAGCTGTGGTGCCTGGAAATCAGTGCTTGGTGCCACCCTAGTGACAGCCTTATGCTCAGGTGAGGAAGACCTGGCCCTTGAGCTTCCTGTGGCTCACTGTTAGTATCTCCTTGGAAGCAGCAGTCTCGTCTGGGAGGCAGCTGGAGGATGCTGGATCTCCGCCTGGCCAGAGCAGGACCCATGGGTTGCAGGACCAGGTGGTGGCTTTGGCTGTGCTGTTGCACCTGTGCTATAGCAGCAAGACTGTGTCCTGTTGTGACAGGCCAGGCCCTGAGCCTGTGGTTATGAAGGACGCGCTAAGGAAAATTGGATGCTTCTGCTTCATGATTCTTTTGTGTACCCAACATCTTCAGAGTGCAGCAGAGCCTGGTGTAGGGAGGAAAATGAGACTGTCCTCACGCTGTGGCCGAGGTGGTGGAGCAAGTGTCAGGTCTGAGTGAGGTGACCTCTGAGGGTCCTGGTGCAGGAGCAGCTCACCTTGAGGGCAGGTGCCTGCGCAGGGTCCAGAAAGGATTTCTGCTGGAGGTGGCGTTTGCGAAGAGCTCTGAAGGAGTGTCATTCAGCCTCCCCTGCACCCCTTCCCAAAGCGGTCTTGGAAATTACGACCTGACATCGTCAGCTTCTCTTGTGGGCCAACATAAGAAATGACTCCATTTTCTTTCTTTCTTTCTTTCTTTCTTTCTTTCTTTCTTTCTTTCTTTCTTTCTTTCTTTCTTTCTTTCTTTCTTTCTTTCTTTCTTTCCTTCTTTCCTTCTTTCCTTCTTTCCTTCCTTCTTTCCTTCTTTCTTTCTTTCTTTTCTTTCTTTCTTTCTTTCTTTCTTTCTTTCTTTCTTTCTTTCTTTCTTTCTTTCTTTCTTTCTTTCTTTCTTTCTCTTGTGGGCCAACATAAGAAATGACTCCATTTTCTTTCTTTCTTTCCTTCCTTCCTTCCTTCCTTCCTTCCTTCCTTCCTTCCTTCCTTCCTTCTTTTTGAAACAGGGTCTCACTGTGTAGTTGAGACTGACCTGGAACTCACTATGTAGCCCAGGCTGGTCTCAAACTCACAGCGATCCTCCTGCTTCAGCCTCCCGAGTGCTGGGATTATAGGCATGCGCCACCACACCTGGCTCCATTTTCTATTTATACAGACTCGTGTAACACAGTCTTTGTAAAGCCAGGAGAAAGTTCCCTCATCTAATGACCCAGCATCATTATTTTTTTTTACTGAAGACTTGAAATCCCATCATGTATCCTTCTTGGCAGTCAGGAATCTTGGTTCCATACCCACTTTGTAGGGAGAGGTCTGGTGTCATGTGTAGCAGCAAGGCCTACAGTCTAGGCACCTACCTGGCATTGTCTCTGTAACTTGCCATTTCAGGTGCAGGAGTGATACTAGCCCAGATTTCTGTTCTTTTCCACAAATTCACAGATAGAAGATTTGTTCTTTCTTACTATAGATGTAGCAGCCTTGGCATACAGTTATCTTTTCTTAAGAACTTTGTCCATTTTACTTAAAGAAAGTACTTTATGGCTTTTCTTGGAACATCTGAGTTGCCTGCATCACACTGTTGGGCCTTGGAGCCACTGTTAGGTAAGCTAAGAGTTACTTGAATGGGGGTGATGCGGTACAACAATCCATCAGATAACCAGCGCAGTTACTGAGCGACTAGCTGGTGAGTAGGATGTCAATTAAGCATGGGTATGGTAGACAAAGGGTTGAACCCATGTACTGGGTAGGACGGTGCTGGATAGGATGAGGTTCCATCATGTAGCTCAGAATAGCACGCAATTTAAAACTTAAGAATTGCTTATTTGGGGGATTTCCCATTTAATATTTTGAGCCACGGTTGACCACAGGTAAATGAAACCACTGAAACAAAACCAAACCAGGAGGACTACTGTACTAAATTCACTTTAAATCAGAACATTCCTTTAGGTGGTGTGTGAGTGTGGGGGGGTTCTGGTGATTAAATCCAGGCAGTGCCGAGCGACATCACCATCCTTTTCTTTATCCCTTTTTTATTTTGAGACAGGGTGCAGATTGCCAAGACTGTCCCTGAACTTTGATCCTCCTGTCTTAGCCTCACGAGTGGCTAGTATTACAGGTGTGCATGCTGGGCTCTTTGTAAATTCTTTTTGTACATTCTCCAAAACTTTGGAAATTTTACCTTTTTATTGTTGCTTAGTGGACAAGGGTTTATTGTATTTAGCATAAGGCCTTCAAATCCATTTGGGAAACTGTCATAGACACAGCAATTTGTTAGCATTCTAAATGCTGTAGAACTGGGTTGTTCTAAGAGCTGAGGATAGATGCTGGCTTTGGGTATTTGGGATGTCACTGTACATTTCCTGTCTACAGTCATTACTGCCTGAGCTTCTGAGTTTGGGGTTCTCTACTTCATGTCAAGATACGCCAGTGGCGGACCAGGCAAGACTGGGGCTTCCCTGCTTTTCAAGCAGTAGAGGAGGAATGCTATTCTAACCCAAGTGCAGACTAAAGCTGGTGCTTCAGACCTGTGAAACGTTAGAATGGGAAAGTACTAGGTATCGTTTACACAGAGCTGGCCAGGGGCAGAAGGAGATAACCTTGGTCTCCTGACTGATTTCAAGGTCCACATGTATTAGTGTAAGAATTCTTAGACCTGTCAAACTGCTCAACCCACTTGCATTTTGCAAGGAGTATTGCATAGAAGATGTTTGCCATTCCCTAGCTGGATGGCTGTGGCGAATAAGTGGGCTTCATTGAACCCAGTTACCCGGCAATAAATGGAAGTGACACATTTCTTACTTGTGTCACAGGAAACGATTAGCATATATTAGCGTAATACGACTTTTTCTCCTTCCTCATTTCAGGGTGACAGAGCTAAGACTCCTTTGGGCTCACATAGATCTTGCCATTTTGCATTTCCTTCCTTCCCGTCCTCTCAGCTCTCTTGAAATGTGCCCTCACCAGGTATTTCCATTTGCCTTGTTTCCTTTGGTAGAAGCAATACTTCTGTTCTTTCCTGGGTCTTTGTGGGGTTCCTCTTCATGAACTACCCTTCTTTTCCGGATCTGCATGTCTTGCTTCGGTCTCCCGAAGCTCACTGCTCTTTGATCTGGATTCATGGTTATATCCACAGTGGATGACCCGAAGCTGAGCTCTTTGCATTACCAAGGAACACTTCCGCTGTATCTGGGATAGTTTGTCTCAACTTGGGAGCCCCAGAGGAACCCACTGCAATACAATAACTTAATCTAGAAGGCAGTCAGGCAAGTTTAAAGCTCATGTATTTTTTATTGGAATGAGTATGCTTCTGTTGTCATTCAGTAATTTGGAAAAAGCCACCTATGTGTAAATCTTTATTCATAATAGGCTCAAAATATGCTTTTCAAGAGGTCATCTTTATCTAGACCAGCAGTAGCTTTTAGATTGATCTTCTTGAAAGGAGTACAAATGGACTTTCTCTGTTGAGGAAAGCAGGCCAGACACTGACTCATTCTTACCACTTCTGGTGTATGAGACCTTGGCCAAGTTCTGTTTTCCAGAGCCTGTTTTGCCAACTGTAAAAGTAATTACTATTTCATCTCAAGGTGTTTGAGAAGAGAATGTGGAAGCTTGGGCATAGTGACTATTGTTTCACTGTTATTTTTTCCACTTGCTTTGATCCTGTGGACAGCTGAAGTTAGTGAGCCCCTTGCTGGGCCAACTCCCCTGCACCTCTCACTGGCCCCTGCTGCGGGAGAACTGCTGTGAGGTACCCAGACCTGTGTAAACTTGCGCACGTCGTCGGAGCTCAGGAGGGCAGGACTTCGTGCATCTGAGAATACATCAAAAAGTGTAGTTGGGCCTTTTTCACAAGGCAGAAGCAATGGGAGACCCTATGGACACTATCTTTATAAGCACATTTTATGTTACATTCTCATCTAGCTGCATTTGTCTCGTGTGGAAATTATAAGGGTTGATGAATTGTCCTTGGGTCTTTCCTTAACATAGGGTTCTGATTTCAGACTGCTGTGTGCTGTGATGGTGGTAAGATCTGTTCTGAGTCCTCTAAATGTATTGCGGGTGTAGTTACATGTTGTTTGCTTTGTTCTGTAACCTTTGAGTTCCAGTGGTCTTGATTTGGAGGGTTGGTTTTCCTTGGTTACATCAGCATTCCCAATACTTGGTTTTTCTGTACTTTTCCCGTTTGGAACTCACAGTCTTTGGATTCTTATCTGAAAAGCAAATAATCTGGAAATGAAGGTTCCCTTGCTCTGTGCCCCTCCCACCTGAGGTTTTATTGGCTGCTCATATTCCATATCCTGTTCTTTGCCAACAAAGCAATCAGTTAAGACTACTGGTTCATCAGACTGTTCTGTGTTCTTCAAAATAAGACTAGTTGCTATTCTCAGTGGCCTTAACTTAATGTTTCCTAAACCAGTCTTTAAAAAGCCTTACCTTCTATGGTAGTTTCGTAACTAGCTTTTGTTAACCCATTACTAACCTTAGAAATCCCTGGTTTTAGAAATCCCTTTTAACTTGCTGTGTGAGTTTTGGCAGATGATTTAACCACATGGGGCCTAAATTTACCTTAACCTGTAAAAATAGGATTGGATCAAAAGCTTTTATGACAGTCTGGGAGATTGCTTAGCCTGCAGGATGAAAATAAAAGTAGGTAGAACAAGAGGCTTATCTTTTCAGTTGAAGGCCTTTGCTATTAAATTGGAAAAGTCACTGACTTGATGGTCTTTGAGATTACATCCAGCCTCGGCACTTGATGGTCTTTTGTGAGACAGGGTCTCGCTGTGTAGCCCAGGTTGCCTGCCTCAGCCTCCGAATGCTGCATGTGTCTGTTTTCAGATTAGACAAGGACACTGGATTGCTAGTGCAGGCCCAAAGCCATCACCGTGCCGTCATCCAGGCTGGTGTGAGTCCATACGTGGCAGCCCCAGCCCTCACTGATGCAGGGTAAGCCACCTGTCCCTTCAGGAAACCTCCCCTCGTTTGCCTGGTTCTCTGAGCACCTGCCCGTTTTTCTGATTCCACCCTTCTGGTCTGAGGTGGGAGAGCTCAGAGGAGCGCAGTGTGGCTTGGTCCCTTTGTTCTTGACCACCCAGTGCCCAGTACTGTGTCACCCACCGAAGGTGTGGAGTCCCAGCCACATGGCTCATAAACTCCTTTCTCTTTCAGGACCGAATCATCAATTTGGTTGTTGGTGGCTTCACATGCTTATTGATTCTAGTAAGTAGCTTTAATTTTGTACATCACTTAAGCTCTTAGCTCCAGCTTTGAGAACTTTTATTATAATGCAGTTAGTGCTCAGAAAAAGTCATGTTTTGATTTTATGACACTGCAACTGACAGCTAAAACAGCTAATTTGATTCCCACCCATTTCCCAGGTGAATTTGTGTAAGTCAGGTAACTAAGTTTGCTGTGTTTGCCTGCCCTAGTACATCTGTAAAAACAGTGGTTACCATCAGTCCCCTCTATGATAGCCCACTGTAACTCTCCATTTTTGTCAATAGTTCACCTTTACCCTTGGTCAAATTTTAAAAGGTTTGGTCAGTGTATAGTAACATTTCATACTGTTTAATATGGCTGAGTGTTGTCACAACATAAACCTAGCTGTTTTCCACAGCCTGGTATGGGCATTTTTAATTACTATTTGTTAAGAGAATGAATTTTAGTGTTTCTTTTACCCCCCATTACTTGTTAATAAAAAGAATGAGCATGATGCTACAAGTGGTAGAAAAAGGGATGGGACTACAAACCCATCTTTCAGGTTTTTTTTTTGGTTTTTTTGGTACCAGGGATCAAACTTAGGACCTTGCACTTGAGGGGCAGGCATAGGCCACTGAGCTAAATCTCCAGCCCTTTCAGTATTTTTCGTAAGCTTAATAAGCAGAGACAACTTTGATTACATTTGCTTTTGGTAGGAGTATTCAAAGTAGGATGGTCAGTCTCCTTCAGTAGTTACCAACCCTAGGAATGACATTTATGTGACTGCTCATGTTTTGTCTCCTTTCATGTTAAGGAGAGGCTGGGAAAGAAGGAAGCATATAGATATAAACAAATTTGCAAATGCTGTTACAGAATGCAGACCTGGGGTGGATACGATTCTGTAATACAGAGCATTCTATAGCATTGCCTGGCCTAGACTCAGGCTGACCTTGCTCGACCTGGAGTTCCTCTTAAGGCCTGACATCTTTTCTCTCCATACAGGTAACACTGATCAGTGCTTTTGTTTTCCCTCACCTACCTCCCAAACCACTGAATGTATTTTTTGCTGTCTGCATCTCTCTGAGCAGTGCTACAGCCTGCATACTTGTGAGTACTATTAGAACTCCAACAGTGCACTCAAGGGCTTCAAGTGGTGGCGCCAGGACAGTCCCAGCCTGGGTCTCTCACACCCACTGTTCCCCAGCACCATTCAGTCCACTGCACAGCTTTCCAGAATCAGTTTCCTTCTTTTCCCTTAACTCCCAAAAAATGTAAGTCTAAAGAATTTTGTTTCTTTGATAGCTAAAATGTGAAAGGGTGAAAATACTTAAAGGGGACAAGTCTGTGATACACTATCATATTCATTCAAGTCATATGCACAGGGCCCCACAAAAGCTTTTAATGGAAAAGACAGCACTGAGTCCTGTGTATTTTAATCTTTGTGTTTACCTCCCCAAGTGGAGGTAACTTACCAGGATTTCCTGGGAAACTTAAAAGTGGCAGTTGTACTGTAGTCACAAGAATGCTTCATTTCAACAAACTAGGAAAGAAACAGATGGTGGTGGCTTTTTGTTGTTTAGTCACTGAATAGTTGGTTGTTGGATAGACTGTAAACCCTTAAAAACAATTGTTTTGAATCACATAGGGCTTAAATCATAGTAGTAATGTATTCATTCAGGTTAAAATCAAACTGATTTGTTTTAACACTCCCATGACCTGTACTGGCCCATGCCAGCCTGCAAGTCTGCCTGCCACACCCTACCCCAGACCTGAGTGACCAACACTGAGTTACTTGAATCTGAACATTACTGTTATGCAAGCTGTCTTGTATTGCCAGTCTGAACTGATGAATTTAAATGTTGTCTTCCTCCCTTGTGCTATACATAAAACCTGAGAGTTACATATTTACCCGAATACATAGAGGTACATTCCCAGGTGACTTGCCAAATAATTGGTTAGAACGTAGAGGAAAGTAAACTGAGGAGGCAGGAAGGAGTAAGTATGACCTTAGGGTGTGGAGTCTCAAGCAGTACTACTTGAGTTGTACTGGCTGTACTGAATGAAGGCGTGAAGATCACTATGAAGATTGTCTCATTTGCAGAAATACTTACGAGTTAATGCAAAATGAATTAGTTGTTTTAACAGTTGGCCCAGTGACTATCACTTAAAATGTAATTTGATTTCTTCTTTTAGATCTACTGGTATCGACAAGGAGACTTAGAACCGAAATTTCGAAGTCTAATTTACTATATTTTATTTTCAATCATCATGCTGTGTATATGTGCAAACCTGTACTTCCACAACGTGGGAAGGTGAGGCCATCGAGAAGGAACCTGAACAGGGTCGTGAGAACTCCCCACAAGGGCAGCAGGAGGGACTGCCGGGTGGGCGCGGACCACCTTCCCAAGCCCAACGCAGGTTCCTGTCAGCTGTGTATCCGAACTCCCTCCTGTAAGGGAGAGGAATCCCAGCTCTCTGCTCTCTCTTGAAGGAGCTGGTGGTGCACTAAGACATTCCAACCTTAAAGCTCAAACAACACACATTTTCACTTTTGAAATTAAAAATTTTTACAAATTGCATGGCAAAGGCTCAAACTCTTGCATTTTAAAACAAATACTCTTTTATTTCTGTTAAACTGAATATACAATTATTGTTCCCTAGGCAACCAACTTTTGCTTATAACTACAATTTCACGTTAACAAAACACAGACGGTGAAAAGACAACTTTGATTGTGAAGATCTAATTACAGTAATAAATAAAATAATTTATACAAGTTTTTTTGTGAGTTTTCTATAGGGGTCATATTCATTAAAGCCCTAAGAGGCTAATTTTGGCTTAACCCTTCTCTAGTAATAGGAATGACTTTTGATTTCTTTCCTTTTGTTATAGAAGCAAATTGTTTTTTAAAATTGCCTGAGAGGGAAAAGTTATATTGTACCCCAACCAGCTAATGCACTGAATGAACAGGAAACTCTCAACCCCACTTCAGCTATCTTCTAGATCATTTATACGGCAACCATGTCAATAAAGGGTCATGGTATCAGGGACAGGCAACATCACCCCTTCTCCATTTGGTTCAGTTTTACTTCAGTGTATGTGCTGCTGAAACAAGCACAGTTTCATTTTTCTTCAAAGTGCTAGGTCTGTAAACCAGACAGTGGTTTATGTAAGGGGTGAAGACTGCTTAGCTGCTGGTAGGTTTTGTTACTACCCTTACCCATTTTCCCTCAGAAGTCATGAAGACCTGTAGTGAGTTTCCAGGACTTTTAATGCTTTCCTCTTCGCCCTGCCTCGTTAGCTCCCACTGCCAGCAATGGGTTAACTGGAAGAAACTGCCACACAATCACCTCCCAGGTCTCAGTGTCTACTGGTTAAGTCTCAAACTAATCCTACCTAATCTTTTTGAAGAAGGACATGGATAAGCTCCAGGCTGTGCTGCTATGTCCCTGAAATGCACCCAAGATGGAGAGTGCCATGTCTGATCTGTGGAGATGAGCAGTTAGCTTTGGTGACATCAGATTCCCTCCTGACAGGTGACACTAAACACGGGATCCACACTCCACTCAACCACACAGGTCTCGTAAACGACCTCAGATGGACACGCAAAAGAGGTAAAAGTCGTAGCAGCAACAACGTGCACAGCTAGGCATGGCAGCTACTCAGAAGCTAGAGGAATGGTACAATAAGTCTCCTGGTGGCTGCCCCTGCTTCTTTGGAGATACTGTAGTTAGAGTGCTTCTTTACCAAACGGCCCATTTCTAAGCATCATCTAGTGACAGTGCACCAAGTCCTCAACATCCTTTGAGTCTTCAGAAACAGGACTGCCTAAAGATGATCCGATGATGTTCGACTCTTCCTGGTGGTGCTGCAGTATGGGATCTGGAAGATGGAGTTTCAGGTTAGTCTTCAGTGTGTATGAGAGGACACACATTTTCGCTACCTCATTCCAAGAATTTAAATAGTCTACCAAAGGCTAAAAAGATTTAACTGACAAGTCTGTTGCTGGACCGAGAACAGAATGAAATAACTGAATTAAATGACTGCCTGATTCTCCCAGTCAGATTTATCAGTCACATGATACGAGTTGTATTACAGTACCTGTTAGTGTTGTCAAAGGCAAGACAGATTCAGTATCTATAACATCAGATGCCTGGATAAAGCCATGTGGTGAAGGAACGATAAGTATTGTTTCATCATCAATTGTTGTTTGATCAACTTGTTCTACTATGGTAGGAGACTCTAAATCCTAAGTAGTATTTAAAAAAAAAAAAGAAAATAAAAGATGAATCCAGGTATAGGTCACCTGTATGTACAGGAAGCAATGCTGTGAAATAAGGGTCCCACTAAAGCCTAAGACCCCTGACTCCCCACTCAGAAGTGGCTTCCAAGTTGCTGCCGCAGAGGGCAGAGGCTGAGAGGCTGTGCTAAGCTGCCAGTTTTCTTATTCCCTTGACTGCCACAAGGGATCCCTGGCCACTCCCTTCCGCCAGTGACACCACTGCTGGGTCACTGACATTTGCACAGCACAGATGGGGGTCTGGACTGGGAACCTAAAGCAGAGTATATCTAGGGCCCTTCCAGACTGCAGCCAGCCTCGTGGCTCCTGGCACCATTAGGCACAACTCACCTCAGTCACATATGCACTGGTCAGATCAGAGGGGGACCCTTCTTGCTTAAGATCAGAGTCAGAGATCTCTTCCGTTCTAACCATAATGCTGTTCATCAGCTCTGTGCTATTCTGGTCACTGAATCTGGACACAGGAGTATCATGGTATGATGGTGCTAGAGTCATCTTAGGCTGATGAATCTCATCTGGGAAAGTGTCTGCTTCCAGTGCATCAGGAAAATCAGATGACTGCATGTCACTGTCTACCGTGAGCTCCGCCTGGGACATCGAGGAAGTGAGGTCTTCTGTGGCAACGGTCTGGATGATGACTCTAGGTGTGTGGCACTGCACCGTGACATTATCACTTGTGTTCAGCAGATGTTCTGGCTATAAAGCACCAAAGAAAACTATCAGTGGCAAAGTGAGGATGTACCACTAGAGTGATTCAACAGATGACATCTACAGGTAATGTGCCTGCCCCTCTGCCCCTCCTCGAACTGCAATGATTTCACTTTTTCCTACAACTCCTGTTCATGAGCACCGGGCTCCTCTCCTACATTCCTTCCTCTGATGTACATCTAGATCTCTCACAGAAGAGATACAGGGATCACAGATACACCCCAGTCAGGTGAGAAAGGCGGTGCCACTGTGACAGTGGTGGCAGGAAGAACTGTTAGGACGGCGGAAATGCCTGTTTTGGTGCTGGTGCTTCAATTTTGTTCAGCTAACCCTAGTCTGTAACTGGCACTCAGAAATCAAGTAGAATTGCAACATACGGATAATGCATGAACAATGATCTGTTCGGGAGAGGCAGGAGCAGCGGCTGTCAGGGTTACCGTGGGGCTGGTGGCCAGAGTCAGAGGAAGCCCTTGGCTGGAGCTTGTCTGAAGCAGGTAGGTGCCAGGTGTGCCGGTGGGCTGCAGATGGAAAGACTGAGGGAAAGGACACAGTGAGACTTCAGTGCAGGTAATGGACAGAGACTAAAGCCACCCACTTGGACTTTGGCCACAAACAGAACCCCAGTCCCGAAGGCACAAATACTGAAGTAGAAGGTGGAATGGGAGAGTCATCTATCCTGCCCTTTACAGTCGTGTCTCTATTGCCTGGTCTCAGCTGGCTGTTTTGAGGTGCCCCAGACATGAGGAACTACTCCCCACAGTGCAGCCACCTAGTCTGAGCTCCCCCTCTTTAATCTTGTTCTCAGCTAAGAAGAACTTGGCCATCTCCCAGTTTAAAAAAGAAAGCTTGTTTTGGAAGAGACACAACAGCAGTGTGAACTCACTTGAACACATTTTTTTTTAATGGCATAATTTCAGAAAATATTTTTGTATTAAGGGAAAATTTATTAAACTAGCAGCACTGTTCTGCTGAAGGAACATGATGCTTATCTGAAAAGCTGGTTAACTTATCTTCGGAGATTTTAAAAGTATGATGAAATTATTCACTAATAGACTTTTCACACTATTAGCTTCTACAGAATTCACGTTGGGTTCACACCAGCAACTGAGAGAAAATAACCAACTTAAGATAGGGCCAGGGTAAGATCCTAAGCCTAATTTTTCAGTCTTCTTTCACCTTTGAAATCTCCGGTATACTGAATCCCTACATGTAGGTTTTATTTCTTCCATGAGGATAATCATCCATGGAAAGGGTTGCAGGATTACGAATGATTATTAAAGTGCTTATCACTCAGTTGGGACTGAAATTTCTTTGGCCTTTCCATAAAATCAAAAGCTAATCATTTTCCTGAAGGTTACAAGCATGCTTAATCACATGCAATAAGGCATTTCTGCAGGTACTTCATGTGCATTGTGCACTATTCGGGTGTGCTTTACCCAAGATATTTAAATGTTTAATTTTCAGTCTTTTGAAGCTGAGTACTACTATCTTCCCCTATTACTTTCAAGTAAAGGAAAGTGCACACAGGTGCTCCTTGAATGGCAGTGAGCTGTGTGGAGATGAGCACACCACAAGTCGGACTTGCTGACGCCACCCAGCGCTCGCAGACACGGCACCGGCACAGCACTGGCTGTCTGCCCTGTGATCCCGCGGCCCCATGATCGTCACCACACTCCAACCTCCAGCAAGACCAAAACTGCACATTCAGCCTTTACTATGTGTTTTTCTCTGGACAGGGTTTCTCATTTCTCTTAGATATACCTGGGACTAGAAGTGGTAGATTGTTTGAAGCTTTTTAGAAATCTCAAGACTGTCCCAAAGTGGTTAGCCCAGCAGGACGGAGACTTCACAGTCCTGTGTCCTCAGCAGCCAGACAGTGCTCTGAGCAGTGCACGGTGCACAGCCCATAGCCTTCTCCGATAACCTGTGCAAGTTCAGGCTCAGGACAAACCCACTCATGCACGCTACCCACAGGCACTGCTGTGTTCACACAGGAAGAACAGGCTGGTTTACATACATGGGTGGAAAAAGCAGAATTAAAAGGATAATAAAAGTGGAAGTTGGATTTATGTCTGGCCTGAAATTAAAAATTTCATGTGCTTGTAAGATTTTTAAAAATAACACCAACCTCATGCATAAAAATGGTCAGTATCTATTATATGAAGCATTACTCACTGGAAGAATCTCAAATGTCTGTAGTGTTCCACTGTTTAGTGTTAGTGTTTCCGAATCAACAGGAGCAGCAGGGGCATCTGCTGAAGCTGCGGTAAGAACAAGGACAGTAATAAAATGGTTGGGAAAGCGTCCAGCATACTAACCTGTTGTGAAGGCGATTTCATACTGAGTAATCTGCATGCAAACCTGAAGTCACTGAAACTTCTTATAAGAAATCTAGTGGATTTGTCTGGGACATGGCATGTCGATCACACAGAAGCGCATACAGAACGGGCCACAGCCGGCCAGTTCCACCCACTGCCAGTTTTATACAACTATGCCCATTCGTTTGTTTTCCTGTGGCTGCTTTCACACTATGGACTTTTAAAAGACACCATAAAGCTCACAAGGTCTAAGATGCTATTGGGCCCTTTACAGAAAAGGTTTACCAACCTGTACTACGTATAGCAAAGTGTCTTCAGTTGTTAAGAAACACAGAGGAGCACGCCAAAGCTAACTGGGAAAGAAAGGAAACTGGAAAAGTACTTTTCTTCATTCTGGTAAACAGCACGGATGTGGGAAGTGGTGATGCCATGATGCTACGCCAGGTCCTACCTCTCAAGACACTGCTTCCTGGAAATGGAAACCTGGGCCAACTCATGTTCAGACCACAACTCTCCTGACTCCCTCTCACCTAGCTGTTCTGGCGATCAACAGTGCTTTTAAAACAAACGTTAAGAAGCTAGGACTTTAGAAGCCCAAGTTCAGAGGACTGAAAGCACTGCAGAGAACAGACCGTACACCTCCAGAGGTGTCCACCAAGACCCAGACTGACCACTGTCTGCCCAGGGTTGCACAGGGCTGGGAAGCAGTGAGAACACGAGTGACCTAGAGGTGTTTTCAGTCACAGGTCAGTTTGTGCAGCTCTGCCCCTAGCATAAAAAAAAGATCTTGTCAGAATGCTAAGAATAATGGGTGGATTATAGAACTCTTACTGTACTCATGTATCTTGCTGGGAGAAATTATTTCACACATTTATTCATTTAAAAACGATGGTATGAGTGAAAATTAAGGTACCACTTTTAAGATGTGGCTAACAGGTACTTTCAATCCCAGGGAAACTAAAAGGTTCCACACACAATCAATTTATGGCTCCCAGCAGCTGATGTATTTATCTGGACCATACCTTCAGTTGCTTTGTAATTCTCCACTATTCAAAAACAAAAACAAACCAAGAAGGGCCAAAGAAAGCAAATTCTTCACGCTTTATTAAACGAAGATGGATAAAACAAATAACCAAATCCAAACTAGGGCTTGAAGAACTATCATTACCTTAAATATCTCTAAGGTCATTTCTCTATTTAATTTTTGGGTGCTGGTTTCCCAACTCAGCTCAAGCCCAGACCTCTCTTGGGTGACTGACAGTTGCTGTATATCCAGACATAGGGCGGCCCAGTATCCTACACCAGGGGCACAGGGTGCACTGGGAAGTGTTTGTCGTGATCACTGGAAACACCACGGGCGTTCTGTGGGTGAGGTCAAGGGACCTTGAGCATCCTGCAACATGAAGGGCAGGTCTGCAAAGACTCGTCTCACTCAGAGTGTCAACAACTGCTTGGCTGAAAACAGCGGCTGGTGCACTTGTGGGCAATGACCTTCCCACAGCAAAGAGCGCCGTGTAGACCCTCTCCCACATGAGTGATGACGGTTCTCAGAATGTTGCTCTCATTCCCTGTCACTGCCATCCAAGAATGATGGGGCAAAGGCCAACTTGGCTTAGAGTGAAGAGATTCCCTTCCCTGTAGCAACTGCTCCCATAATCTTATTAAAAGCAAAATTGTCACAGGCTGAAGACAACACAGGGTTAATAAAAACATTTCTCTGTAGGAAAATGGCTCCTTACTCCCTGAAGAAAATCCTTTTCAATCCTGCAGAAACCCATTTCTCTATATACAGTAAGTCCCCAGCTCATGAACAAGTTCTGTTCCTGGAGAACTGTTCGTAAGTTGGATTCATTCATATGCCGGCAAAGTGAGTCATACAGTAGTACACCTGTGAAAGTCTGCAACTCGAATGTTCCTAAGTCGGGGACTTACTGTACTGCCACAATCCATCCCCAATTTGTGTCTTCTGGTGAAATTTCATTAAATAATGTGCCACCTTGTTAATGCTTTCTTGGCTCCACTGACTATTGTTCAGGCAGTTTGCAATTAATCATTAATCTTAATTTCTACTGAACGATTTTTACTCCATCCTTAATTGTAAAACTGGGAAAGATGTTTCAGAATGGTTACGGTGGCCAGGGCTGTAAGTCCTTCCTAGCACACGTTCATCCTTTGCAAATACTGAGGTGAACTTTATAAAAGGCCTTGATGCACTTTACTCCTCCGCTCGGCTCTAGTAGACGGACAGGTGTCAGAGCCATCACCCGAGCCCCACACTTACAGACGTGGGTGATCTGGACTGGGATCTGCAACGCGGCCATGGGGCTTGGGGGGACGGCTGTGCTCTCTTCCAAGCGGGCCACTCGGATCTGAACGTGCTGAACACCGGAGCTGGAATTACTGTTGGCAACTCCAGGTCCTGCCTTATTCTCCAGCAGCGCTGGGTTGTTTTTTTGGTTCTCATGTAACTGTTTCAGACCTTTTATTAAGACTGCAGGGAGATGGGGAGACAAAAAGAACACTGACTCTCTGACACCACCGTGGAAGCAACAGGGAGGTGGAGGGCAAGGTAAGGAGGGCAAGTATTGTGAATAATATTGCATACTGGAAGTGAGAATTTATCAAAATAACAGTAAAATTATTAGAAGCACAACCTGTCCTGAAAGTTGAGAAACATTATCATAATAGATTTTTAAAATTCTTTTCTGGGAGGGTTAGGGTCTTGCTATGCTGCCTAGGCTAGTTTCGAACACAGGGGCTCAAGGGATACTCCTGCCAAGTCACTGAAGAGCTAGCTACTGGCAAATTTTTTTTCCCATTTTGTAGGTTATCTCTTCACTTTGTTGGCTGTTTCCTTTGCTGTGTAGAAGCGGGCTAATCATTTGTTGATTCTTGCTGAAACTGGAGTTCTGTTCAGAAAGTCATTGCCTACGCCTGTGACTTCAAAAGTTTTACCTATTTTATCTTCCAGGAGGTTAAGTGCTTCTGATTTAACATTTAGATCTTTGATCCATTTTGATTTCAGTTTAGTACATGGTGAGAGATACGGGTCTAGCTTCAATGTTTGTCATGTGCAGATTTCCCAGCACCAACTATTACAGAGTCTATGTTTTGTCCAGTGTATGCTTTTGGCCTCTGTCAAAGATCGTGGTTGAATATATCTAGGGTTGTTTCTGTGTCCTCTATTCTGTTCCACTGACCCACATGTCAGTTTTTGTGCCAATACCATTCCGTTTTTATCACTACAGCTTTGTAGTATTACCTGAACTCAGGTACTGTGATGCCCTTCTGCTTTGCTCTTGTTGCCCAGGATTGCTTTTGCTATTCTGAACTTTGTTCTTGTTCCATATGAATTTTAGGATTAGGATTTCTCTAGTTCTGTGAGAAATGCTATTGGTATTTTGATTGGGGTTGCATTAAATCTGTGTATCAGTTTTGGAAGTAAGAGCGTTTTGACCATACTGGTTTTGCCTATCAAGAAACAGGAAATCTATTTTCTGATATCCTCTTCTAAAGTACTGTATAGATTTTGCCGTTAACGGCCTTTCACTTCCTTGGTTGTTAATTACTAAGTATTTAGTTTTCTTGATGTTGTTGTGAATAAAATCAGTTTCCTATTTCTTGGTGAGTTTGTAATTGGTGTACAGGAGCACTGTTATTTTTCTGTTGGCTTTGTATAGAATTTGCTATCAAGTCTAGGAGATTTTTGGCGGAACTTTTTGGGTCGTCTATGTAATGGATCATGTCTGCAAATAATCTGACTCCTTTCTTTCCTGCACATATCCTTTATTTTTTTTTCTCTTATTGCTCTGGCTTAATTTGCATACTGTATCGAACAGGATGGTCAGACTGGACAATCTTGTCTTGTTCTTGATTTTGAGAATGTTTTCAGCTCCTAGTATGTCATAAGTGGCTTTTATCAGGTCCTTCTATTCCTGTTTTCTTCTGGGTTTTTATCATGAATGGATGCTGGATTTTTTCAAAAGCCTTTGTTGCATCTATAGATATGATCATGTGGTTTTTAACTTTGCTTCTTTTTTTGTGATTCATTACATCTACTGATTTGCCTTTGTTGAACCATCCTTGCATCCCTGGGAAGAAACCTACTCGGATGAATCATCCTTTTGATGACAGGTTGCATTCTACTTGCCAATATTATTACTGGGGAATTTTGCATCAATGATCATTAAGGAGACTGGCCTGCAATTTTCTTCTTCAGTTGGGTCTTTATCTGGTTTGGGGATCAGAATGATGCTGGCTTTTAGGAATGAGTTTTAATTTCATTAAAGAGTCTGAAGAGCATTAGTGTTATAACCTTCTTGAAGGTCTTATAAATTCAGCAGTGAATCCAGGACAATCTGGTCTTGGGCTTTTCTTAGTTCATAAGCTTTTTATTATTGCAATTTCATTGCTTGTTATTGGATATTCAGAATTCTTATGTCTTCTTGGTTCAGTTTTAGTAATTTGTAGATTTTCATCAAGTGAAAATTCCTTACCATTTATTTTTTCTTTGGACAAATGAAAATGGGAGTTATATATTAAGGGGAACTAATTTAATACCTACCCTAAATTAAACAGACTATTCAATTTAGTTGAGTACCTCAATGCAAAACAAGCAATGGAATGAAAAACATGCTGTTTCACTTCAAGCAAACTCAATTTCAGATCTCTAGATTTACATAATACATGAAATTAACAAGCCTTTTGTTCTACAAAAGATGTTTATCACATATTTTCTCTAACAAGCCCAGTTAAGATATTTAGAAGTATACAATCCATAAAAAACTTAATTAAATTTTGAGAAATAAGTCTCAGTAGAAAATTGAAACAAAATTTATTTCCTCTTTGTAGTTTATGTAGAACAAGAATGTGTGAGAATGTATGTTCTCAGTTTACAGGTTTGGGGAATTTTAACTTACATTAATTCTTCTCTAAGAAAAAAAATAAGAAATAGGGTGGAAGTAGAGATTGACTTTGACATTTCTTGAGGCACGGAACCTATAACTGCCAATGTGTGAACATGGTAATCAAGGGAAGGACCTTAAGCAAGCAATACATTACCAGGGAATGAAACATCCTTATGGTTTGCAATCTGCCTTTTGATGGTCCACCATTTACTTCGAAGCCACTGTGGTGAACGGACGCTGCTCCATCCCTCAGCTAACAGATCCCAGTTTATGTCATTTTCATCCGCTACATCAAGCTCTGCCACCCTACAGGTTACAAAACAAGTGCGTGTTAGAGGACACACTGTTTCTCCATGAGAGCCCTCCTCTGCCTGAATGATGGCAGCACTGGTGATAAAGGGCATGGGCAGGTAAAGCCAACAGGCTGCTAATGTCCAGCGGCACAGGGAAAGGACTCCATAAACACAGATCGTGTTCAGAACCAGGAGCTAAGAAATTTAGTCAGCACAGCCTCTGGTTAAAGGAATAGCCAGTGGGCCAAACTGTAAATGTTCAGAACCAAAGGAAGCATTGGGACGGAAAAGGAGCAGGCTAATGGCCAGAATGGGTAAGGAAAGATAAGCTGCACAGTGTTCCAAAGCATTTCTTCTGTAGATCTGAGCTTTTCCATTTGTGAAACAAAAATGTTCAGCAATGCACTATTTACAAAGATGACTAGTGGAATAAAAAAAATTCTATTCAAAACAAAATGGTAAAAAGATTTAAAAAGCAAAAAAAGATAAAAAAACAAAACAAAAAAAAAAAACAGTAACGGTACAGCTAACATTGAGGTTTTAAGTGGTTCATTTCCTAGCTTTAATTGTGATGGTTTTGGTTCAAAAAAAAAACAGTAACAGTACAGCTAACATTGAGGTTTTAAGTGGTTCATTTCCTAGCTTTAATTGTGATGGTTTTGGTTTTCAGCAGGGACACAATTACAGGTTTCTTATTTCGGTGTCCTTAAGTATCCTTTCGATGGTATTTTTTGCTCATTTTGGCTGCCGAGTCTTAATGTTGAAACAACTCATTTTAAACAATGTTGGGATCCTCTTAACGCTCTTCCTGGATGTGTATGAAGTGACCTGGCCTAGTGTGGCAAGTTTGGCACGGCAGGTGAGGACTAAAGGGCATGGGGACTGAACAGCCCTCTCTCCAACACGGCCCTGCAGTGAGGAGGGAGCACATGGGTGGACAGTGGAAGCTGCACTGCCACTGCCTGCGCCATTCCTGGCCTGTGGACTTCACAGAGGACTTCAGTCTCCACACCTTCAATCTGGTAATTTGCCTAGGCATTAAATCCACTAAAAAGGAATAAACATAAAACAAACAAACAAACAAAGAGCTCAATATGAAATACGGAGGGCCTTACACAGTGGCACTCCATGGAAAGGATACTTTCTGACATGACACGTCCAGAAAACTAAGAGGACTGACTGCCAACCAGACAGCACAGGCATGAGCTCCTGGGAGCTCAGGACACACCTGAGGATGAGATTGATCTCGTCTTCCTTGGTCCACTCAGTACCCCCACTCTGCTTCCAGTTCAGGTAGTTGAGCCACTTGGAGCGGCACTGCTTCTCCGAGCGGGTACCCACACGCTCTGCCACCGCAGCCCAGGACACACCCTGCGTGACAGTGTCACCAGGCTCAGTGCTTGTCAGCTCGTGAACCACCTCTGCAAGTCTCTTTTCCTCTTCTTCCGTCCACTTCCCTGAAAGAAGGAAATCAGCTAGATGCTGCTGCCTTCTCCTTCTATGCACTGATTTAGCCCGCAGGGGCACAGCAGCACCAAGAGTGTATTCTTAAGTGGCCCTGTGCTGGAGGCCACCTTAGTTTAGTGTCTACTAAGCCAGTAGCATTTTACTGGCCTGGTAGAGGCCTCAGAACAAAAGAAACCGGATCCCACTGGAAAGACTGCCTGGCTTTTTTTTTTTTTTTTTTAAATTGAACTTGGGACCTTGCACTTGTGAGGCAGGTGCTGGCGCCACTGAGCTAAATCCCCATCCCAAGCCTGGATTTTTAAGGAACAAAAGACTACACCAAATAGAACTACAAAGAGCGATACACTCTCAGCTCATACCAAGAACTTCAGGTATACAATGTGGGAAGATTCCCTGACAGCCTTGGGATGTCACGATTCCCATTGAGTCTCCCTGCCCCACAGAAATGAGTCCTTCAGGCCTTTGCTTACTGGAAAGGGAGGAAGGTGAGTGGGGTGATGCCTAAAGACTCCCAACTTTTAGTCAAAACTAGGGCGAATATCTTCTCTTCCCACCATCCCAATTCCAAGTCACTGTGGTCAAACACCATATGAAGTCAGTGTTGTATGTGTTTTTATTCCTCTTCCTCCTTTTAAACTTACTAATAAATACTATCAACTATTCCTCTTGGTCTTTTTAAAAAAACTGTGCCCAAGCAGAAAAATCTGTTTAAAAACCTCCTTCTGGTTTTAATTTAGTTCAAATAGCTAAAAGCCCTAAAATGTCAAAAAAGTTATGCTCTTGCATTGACTGAATGTTTATTAATCACTGGCAGCCTGAATACTGTGGGTAGATTCAAGGACAATCTCTACTCTCCTGTCAAGCATGCTATGAAAAGAAGGAAAAACCCTGAGGTGGTATATCTTTGGTGGCACCAGAAAACTCCTTGTGACAGAAGGCAAGCAGCTGAGATCAGCAAATGGGACAGGGTCCTCCAATTACACTGGCACAAGCTCGGCACTCAGAGCACTGTACACATGCCTCTGGGGGCCTTACCCTAAATGTGCAGATGCCATCCCTGCTTTGTTTACTAAGCCTCCACAGCAGACAGTGACAGAGTTGGGACACTGACATTCTCAGGCCTTGTTGTGACAGTGATGCTGGAGGGGGTAAGGAGGAAACAGTCTTGGATTCACTTCAGTGGGGAAAGGATGAAAAATACGTAGTAAACAAGAACAGCAGCTGCACTTGGGAATGAACACAGACTGTGAACTCTTCATAGAGCACCAGGGTTAAAGGGAACTGTGACAGCATCTATTCTAACCTCTTTATTTTACAGAGGAAAGTGAGGCTCAGCAAGTTTAAGTGACAGTGCAGAATCTAAAAGAAATATTGCTGCTGGTCACAAGGCTGGGCAAATACCATCACCAGCACATTAAGTATTAAGATGTATCTGCAGTCTGGCCTGGAAACTGAAACACAGTAAGTCCCCTACTTACTCAGGCTGTGAACTTTCACACGTGTACTGTGTAAGACTCACTGTTGGCTTACAAATGGTTCTCCCAGAATAGAACTTGTTCCAAAGTCGAGGGCTTACTGTACCAGTAATCAGGTATTTTTTAAGATGGAAAAATATACTTCAAGTTTGAGATAAGCAAAAACATACAGACCTCTGGAACATAGCTTCTTCCTAATTTGGACTTGCCCATGACTAAAGTTTTTCATAGACATGAGGAGATAAACTGCCATTAATATAAGTTCAGTGAGATGAGCCTAAATTAAAATTATTTCCTACTATACAATTCAAAACTATTTTCCCAGCTGAGACAGTTGTAACTGCTATACAACCAAAACCTGTTACACACAAGGCCTCTGACACCAGAGATTCTGTGTCCCTTGTGAACAATGTCCTCTCACATAAGACAAAGAGCAGACATCAGCGGGACCTGTCCGTTATGCTGAAAGAGGCAGAATGGAAGAGAGAGCCTGAACTACGGTGCAGACAGTCCTGTGCCCCAGGACAGAAGGGAGGCAGTGTCTGAGTGGTGAGAGCTCAGGTGGTCAGCGCCACATGGCCACGCATGGTACCTGTGTTGCAAGTGTCCTTCATCAGCCGGCACCGGTCTTTGACGGAAGACGCACTTCTTCCGAGAGCCGCCCCTATTGTTGCCCAGTCATTGCCGTGCTTTATCCGGAGCCTAGAACAAGAGTCTGCCGATCAGCATTTGGTTCAACTGTTTTCTCCCTCTCAATTTCATCATTTATTCTTCATTCTTCTTCTTCCCACTTGACTGGTTTGCAAGTTGTGGGCAGCAATACTTTGAGAGCCAAAGTTTTGAAAGTGTGGCCTTTTACTGGGGTCCACAGTTGTCTGTGGGTGAAAAAAAAACAGGCAGCAATTGCCCTTTTCCTGGGTCAGAGAAGAAATAAGTAACTTGGATATGTGTTTGAAAAGACCAAATTTTCCTCAGATTACTGACACCAAGTCCCAGGCAAGCCCCAAGCTTCCCTCTGAGCAGACTCCTAACAGGTCCTCCTCCGACCCCTGAGAAGTCCCCAGCACCCTGCGTCATCAGCAAGAGGATCCACTCTCCATCTTTCTGTACAATTCACACCACGCATTAAACCCTTTAGGACCCCACCTTGGTGGAGCAGAACTGTGCTTCCTAGGACGAGCAGCACTGGGAGGCAGGTTGGCCCGGCAGTGAAACACCTGCCACACTGCCACGTTAAGCCAGGCCTCCCTCAAGCAGCATGGACCTGGTCTGCTATTGGTATATAAATGCCCCAGATTCAGTTGTCGGGCCACCAAAATCGGTGTCTAATCTCTCTGGCCTATCTATTAGTGGCTGAGGAAATATTCAGTGACTGATAGCAGAAACCAACACTTGTGTGTTATGGACACAGTTACTCTGTGCAGGTCTAGATCTGATAATCAACTTACTGGCAAGACTAAATTATTCCTGTTCTCCAAAAATCTCTTCAGGTTTTCAAGTTAAAACATTTAAAAACATAAGACAGAAAGCAAACAATAAGAATGAAAACAAAATTTAAAACTTACTCCTTCAGCTTCTCAATTTCTTCAGGTGTATATCTAGAAATTCAGAGAATTTTTAAAAAAATCAGTTAAAATAAGCCATGGTAGATGCCCTAATAAAAAAAAATCAGGATTTCATTTAGAGAGCTAAATGCTAAATCAGCATAAGGTCACCCACTTTAAGTGAATCACTACAAGTTAAAACCTTCCATTTTCTTACTGAAAAAACAGCAATTACTGTTAGCTATAGTAAAATTAAGTACTGTACAATTTCCTTTAGGAAATCTTAACATTTAAAACATTTATTTGTTCCTGGGCTGTCTCTTTACTACAAAGTTAGGTTTTTAACTGTAATTATTCCAAGACTAGGTCTTTTGTAAAATATGGCTAAAAGAAAAATCTATTGACATTTCCTTAAGGCACTGAAAAAATTAAAATTCTCTTCATTTCCTGTAGCTGGGCACATACATCTGATATACTCTTGCTCTTTATACAGCCAATGAAATGTTTTCTAAAAATGTCTTTTAAAAGTTAGGAAAGGCTGCTTAGTTTGGAGCGAGAGACTCACTATTAAATTCAGGCTGGACTTGTATTTGCAATCCTCCTGCCTCAGTCTTCTGTGTGGAATTACAGTGTAGGCCAGCACACCCAGCCTACTGCTCACGTTTTAAGCACTTGCACAATATGGAAAGTTTACTAAAAGTTAACAAGTCACTCCTGTTCCACTTTTTAAATATTTCTCTTTTGCTACTGTGATAAAACATAGTTAATTCACTTCAACTTTGAAATGCACTGTCATCAGCAGGCTGCTGAAAGCGAGAGGGAAAGCGGTAGCATCTAATAAGCCATACTGCTGCCATCTGAAATCCTCGGAGAGACATTCAAAATATGTCAGTCCCACCACCTGATCTTTACGCTGAAGCTTAACGATGCTTTTGCATAAATATTACCTATACCAGAACTCCAAACACTGTTTCCAGAAATGATTTTCCCCTCTGGTTTTATTAAACAAACAAACCTAGTAATGTGTACTCTTAAAACAAATAAAAACTACTACGAAAGAATATGGAGTTCTTTTAACACTTCCTATATCTTTAATCACTACTGTGCTTTTTTTTATGTTTCTTTTGGAGCAGACTTTGGTATATTAAGTGTGTAAAGTCTTCCATTTAACATAGGTGATTCAGACTAATTTCTAAAGGAGGCCTTATTATAACAATTTCACCATATTAAACACAGAACTAGAGAATAAATATAACAACAGTAACTCATGAGCCATCTCCAGTTAGGTCTTAATTACAACTGTACTTAAAAACAAAATGGTTCTGAGGGCCACGGATTTAGCTCAGTGGTGCCACCACCTGCCTTGCAAGCGCAAGGTCCTGGGTCCAATCCCCGTACCAAAAAAAAAAAAAAAAAAAAAAAAAAA